GTTGTTCCCCTACCTGCGTCCATGTGTTCTCATTGTTCAACTCCCACTTATGAGTGAGAGCATGTAGTGTTTAGTTTTCTGCTCCTGTGTTAGTTTGCTGAGAACGATGGTTTCCAGTTTCATCCATGTCCCTGCAAAGAACATGAACTCATCCTTTTTATGGCTGCATAGTTTTCCATGGTGTATTTTAACCTACTTACAAGTTAACAGCTTAGCCTGCCACAATTTCATGGGTGCCAGCAAAAGATGTGAGACTCCAGGGTCAGAATTAAAGGACTTTTTACCCACGGGACAGCAAGCATCATGAACATCATAAATATTCATTTGTGTATTTTTTTTTTCTTGATTAGTCCTGCTAAAAGTTTGTGCATTGAATTCGTTCTTTCAAATTACTGGTTTCGGATTATGTTGATCTATGTTTTGGGGGTTTTTAACTTCAGTAATATTTGATCTCATTTTTAATATTCCTTTTAATCATTTTAATCTTAATTTATTCTGTTTTTATTCTTCTAGTTTCCAAAATGGAACATGACTCATTTATTTTCACAATTTTTTCTTTTTAATAGTTACCTCAAATACTGCCTTAGTTGCCTCCTACAAGTTTTGATATATAGTACCTTTACTTTTGTACAGCTTTTAAATTGTGTTTTCTTTCTTAACCCGTAAGTTATTTGGAAATACATTTCAATATTTCCAAATACAAGGAAATTTTTCAACTAGCTTTTTTTTAAACTGATGTGGTCAAAAAAAAGAAAAATATATATTCTCTATTATTGGAGATGATCTATAGATATATAGATGGACATATAGAGATACATATATACCTATAGTGTATGCATATAGAGAGTTAGAGATGGAATTAACTTTGCTTTTCGATGTTTCTTATTTCTTGATCTTGTTTTTGTATCCTTAATCTATCAGTTTTGTTATGAATGAGGGTTTGTTGGTTATTCCTTTTAGTTCTTGCTTTATGTATTTTTGAGAGTGCTCTGTTATATATACACATTTATTGATTGTTGTGACACCTTGGAAGATAATTTCTTTTAAAAATTATTTTAGAGTAGCCCTTTATCCTTTTTTAAACTTTAAGTTCTGTTTCATTTGAGGACCCCAACTTTCTGTAATTCATATTTGCACATTAGATCTTTTGGTATCCCTAGAATTTCAACCTTTCAGAGTCATTTGGTTTTGGAATTTCTCTTGGATGCAAGGTAAAGCTGAATGAATTTTGTACCAAGTTGATAATACAACCTTTTTTTTTTTAGACAGAGTCTCGATCTGTCACCAGGTTGGAGTGCAGTGATGCAATCTCAGCTCACTGCAACCTCTGCCTCCCAGGTTCAAGCATTTCTCCTGCCTCAGCCTCCCAAGTAGCTGGGACTACAGGCGTGCACCACCATGCCTGGCTAATTTTTGTACTTTTAGTAGAGATGAGGTTTCACCATGTTGACGAGGATGGTTTTGATCTCTTTACTTTGTGATCCACCCACCTCGGCCTCCCAAAGTGCTGGGATTACAGGCGTAAGCCACCGCACTCTAACAAGTGAGAGTTTAGTCAATGTACGTTTATTAAGATTATGGCATTGCTGGTACATCTGGACTTGTTTCCACCATCTGATTTTGTGCTTTCTTTTTATTTATTTCCTAGTCCTTTCCTCACTGTCCTGACTATTGTTGGATTGATTATTTTTATATCTTTAGTTTTTCCTTCTGTTAATTTAAAAGCTGTAAATTATATTGCTATTGTTTTGGTGATTCCCTCTAGCATATTAAGATTGAAACTTAACCAAAAAGTTTTCTAACACTATCTAGAATTATTTAGTACATCAAATCTATTTATAATTAAAACATTGAGTATAACACATTTTGAACCCTGGAACAGCTCCACATCTGGTTATTTTTATATAGAGCTTCACTTATCTTTTAAACAAAGAAAGCATTTTTTGTAATCGATAGTTGATTACATTGGTCAACATATTTTATTAATTTCTGTGTTCACTGTTGTTTCTCATGCTTGGCATTGTCCCTCTGCATTCCTGCATTCACCTTTTTTCTTGCCAAAGAAAAAGTTTTTAGGAACTATGAATGACAAATTTCTCTTGCCTTCTATGCATCTCATTTTCTCTTTACCTTGTCCTTATTCTTGCATGATTTTTGTGTATAGAACTCTAAATATACTTATATCTTTCCTCAGCACTTGTAAGATATTGCATTTTCTCTGGCATCAATTTTCTCAGAATAAAAGGCTGCTGTTTGTCTAATTGTTGTTAACTTTTAGATGATTTGTATATTTTCCCTGATGGCTTTGAAGAGTGTCCTTTATTCTTAATAATGTAGTTCCTTATCATATATCTAAAAGTGAATTTATTTTTATTTATATAGTTTCATACTCAAGAGTATTCTTCTGATATGTGAATGATAATCTTAAATTCTAGAAATGGTATTAATAATTATCTCTCACTTATTGATTCTCTAATATCCCCTCCCTCTCAGAAGCTCATATTCATTGAATATGGGAGCAACTCAACTCATCTTTCATGTTTCTTAATTCCTCTCCCATATATTTTATTTGTGCTGAATAGTGGATGTCCTTCCTTCCTCTTCAAGTTTAATATTCTTTTTGTCCATGTTCATTCTAGAGTATGTCCCATACATTGCATTTTTGTTTCATTGACTAAATTTTTATTTCCATCATATTTGGTGGATCATTTTTATCTACCAGCACATTATTTTATTCCTCTCTGGTTTTGTCTCACACTTTATATTTTTTAAACAATTATTTCAAATTCTTTCTCAGACTTCTCTCAAATTAACTAATCAGAATGAGTTCTGATTGTTTGGTTTATGTTCATCTTTATTTTGGCTTTCTTCCTTAACATCAGATTTTTTTAATGAGTTTTATAGTTTTTGTTCATCGGCTAATTTTTATGCAAGATTTTCAAAATTTTATTTCCCCTTCTTCCTCCCACACCTATTTCTGTATATCTAGTGAATTGCCTCCACCCAGCCAACACAGAATCAGTTCTTCTAATGATGGTGACTGCCGCGTGTGATATTCATACATAGTACACTTCTTTTAGAACCCCTTTTGTGTTCTAGATTAAGTGCCACTTCAGTACTCTTCTGAAGATATTACAATATAATTGCTTTTTATTATTGGTTTCTCCCCCAGCAAGACTGTCTGCTCCATGAGGGCCAGGACCTGAGCTATCTGGTTCACACTGTTAAATAACCCAGCCCCAAAAGTAATGAGTGGAATAAAGTACACTCATTAAATAGTTGCTGACGGAAATAATCAAATGTTTTCATCACTGGGTAATGTGTCTGATGGTATTGCCACTGTACCATTTTCTCAGGATCCATGTGGTTAGTTTTGGAACTCAAAAAGTGATGATTTTCCTAGGTGGTTGCTTGCTTTTGAATAGTGATTTAGTAAGCACTTGACTTCTAGTTCAATCATTACTTCTTTCTCTCTGAGTTATTTTCACAAGGGTGGATCTGAAGGGCTAGCAGCTGAGAAGCCTGGCAGGATAAAGGGGACGATATCTTGCACTCTGCATTTTGTTTCATTGGTGTAATTACTATGATGATTGTAGATTAAGTCTAATCCTAGTTATTATAATTTCCTCTTTGAATCCCAAAGATAAGGGGTTTCATCCTACACAAAGATCTTTTTCATTTATTTCTGGACAGAAACCAACTAAAATTAGGTCCAAGTCATTCCTGAGCTTGGAAGTGCCCTCTGCATACTCACTTCCTGTCAATCCTCCCTGACAACCCTAGAATCATTTAAACCTCACAAGTGGCTGTTGGGAAGCATGTCATTTCAATGCACCTCTATAGCTTACTGAAGATCATATTGAAATGATTTGTGAAAATGTGGAACAATGTCTCCTGATGTTTGCAAAGTATCACAATTTTATTTACATATTTATTGTGTTATTTTCAAGACCTCCAGTAATTACTAGTATAAGAAATAAAACATATACATGTTCTCTTTTCACCAATAAGAAAGTCGGTTTGGTTTGGTTTGGTTTTCTGTCAGATTTAATAGTAATTTTTATCCCAACATATATACTAAGATTGTTTTAAAGACAGCTTGAATTTTTTTTTTTTTCAAGACAGGTCTTGTGCTGTCACCCAGGCATGAGTGCAGTAGCACAATCACACCTCACTGCAACCTTCACTTCCCAGCCTCAAGCTATGCTCCCACCTCTGCCTCCGTAGTAGCTGGTACTGCAGATCGGTAGCTGACCTTTACCATGCCCAGCTGACTTTTTTACTTTTTGTAGAGACCAGGTCTCCCTATGTTGCCCAGGCTTATCTCAAACTTCTGGCCTCAAGCAATCCTCCCACCTTAACCTTCCAAAGTGCTAGGACTACAGGCATGAGCTAATACACCCAACCCAAGAACTTGATTTTCATCCAACATGCTTGCTTAGTAAAGACAATAGCCATCAGTTAAATTTTTAAAAACCTTTAGAACAGACATATAAATACTACCCACTAATGAGTCATAAAATCTATATGCATCTAAGATCATACTGAAAAAAAATTCACCTTATTTCTGCTTTTGTTTATACAGTAAGGAAAATATAGATTTTTTGTCTCTGTGGTATTTATTTTCCTAAATGTATCATATTTCTGGTCTTTTAATTATGCATAGAAAGATCACAGCAATGGTTTCTTCCAAATATCATAGCTATCCTTACAGAACTTTCTCCACTGCATGTAGAGACCAGCTTAGCATATAATTTATGTTTTCAAACTTTAATTTGCCTGAAGCCTTTAATTTTCCTCAAGCCTGTGTGTGTGTGTGTGTGTGTGTGTGGGGGTGTGTGTGTGTGTGTGTGTGTCTAACCTGTGGCTCCAAGTTATAGCTGAATTTTTTACAATTTTACTTATTTTTGTAATAAATCCAGTCACAGCCCTCACTGGGTTATAGACTAGATTGATGGGAGAAAACTATAATCAGGGAAAGAAGGTAAATACACATTAACTTCACTCAAAAGCCACTCCTTTAAGCAGTTGTACATAGCAGGTCATTAAAGTTCATGTATTCAGTATAATCACATTTTTAAAGGTATACTGACAATATCAATAGTGTTCGCTGCAACCAGGGATCATGAAACTTTCAAATTTCTTGAAACCTGTAAATTTAGATTGAGAGACTATTAGAAATAAAGCATGTTTAAGTTAAGCATATTATCAATTAAAGTATATTTAATGCTAAAATTTTGAAGCAAAAGAAAAAAGTCATAGTCATATATGAAAAGAACATAAATTCATATGCCATATTATCCAACCACCCAGGTAACAACAGACTGGCTACAAATTATGTGAGGAATTTAAATATAAATTATTAGGTTTCTAAGTGTGATTCTGTGATGACAAGCACATCATTATAACTTAAAGCAATTCATTTCTATACAATTTACTGAATGTCTACTATGTCTATTCTTGCCTCAGGGAGCTCACAGACTGCTAGGAAATAAAGACACATTCCAACCAGTTGCAATTCAGTAACATTATTATGAGAGTTATATTAATGGTAGATACATTTTTATAAATGATACCTCAATTCTGCACTTTAATAAAATATCCATGTGTCTGTAATTTATAACTACACATTAGTAATCTTTCATATTAATAAATAAAAACTCCATTCTAATTAGGCACTAATATAAAACAGTCACTCACTTCCCATCTGTTATCCCATTTGCTGATACCTACGAGAGGAGTATCAGTAATTAACTGTTGAGTGCCACAAGCTGGAATATTCTGTTTTGCAAAATAAGTGATATGAATATTTATTTTAAAACATTTTGTGAGCAGAAATGACCAGGTTATGAACCATCTTTTTTTCCATATTAACACAACAAAAAGTAAGTGGCTTTTGAGTTCAAAACTGCTGAATTACTGAGAATCTTCTAATGTTGGGATCCTTCCATCTCAAGTAGGTTTCCTAAATTACTTTTCCTGTATTTCAGAAATTGAAATAATGAACCAACACCTACTCCAAAAAAGTTCATATAAAATAGTAACAGTTGGGCATGATGGCTCCCACAGGAAATCTCAGCACTTTGGGAGGCCAAGGTGGGAGGATCACTCGAGCTTAGGCAATATAGTGAGACACTGCATCTCAAAAAAAAAAAAAAAAATAGCTGGGTGTGGTGGTGCATGCCAGTAGTCCTAGCTGAGGCTGAGGCGGGAGGATCCCTTAAGCCCAGGAGTTCAAGATTATAACGAGCTATGATTGCACCATTGCACTCCAGCCTGGGTGACAGAGCAAGGCTCTGTCTCTTAAATATAAAAATAAAATATTTTTTAAAAGGATAGTAACATTACTGACCTCCACTATTCCGCTTTGCAGGCAGCAACCTTGTAAGTAGAATGAGTATGTAGTATGGTCTTTTCTGAAAACGAAATACCAGAAAATGAGAGAGAAGAATGGAAAGGGCAGCAGCATCCTGTGTCCAGATGCCCACACAAGAAAAAGGCTGAGCTGAGCTTCCTTGTCTTTGCTGTCTCAGTAACAGAGGTCATGGCAACTGAACTACCAACCTCATAAGAGAACCTCCTTGTGGACTCTCCTAGCTCATGGCCTGATTTCCTTTGTGTCGCACATGCAATGTGCTTGACACAAGCAACCTTCATCTTGTTTCTGAAGGTTAAAAGAGTCCCACCCTTAATATAATTCAACCACCATATGTACAGTCTCAAATGTTCCCCGAGAAGATAGCAACTTAATGTCAAGTTTAGCAATGATAAATTGGCCAGGCTTCCTCAGAAGCTGACTGCCAGTCTTAAAAACCTGTCTCTAGGTGATATCCATTTCTTCGCTAAGTTTCTTATGAAATCATCTACGCCTGTTTTTTGTCATTCTGTAACCTTTAGACCAAACGGTCACATAATCACTATCACCATGCTGAAAATACAATTGTGAAAGAATATTAATGAGCTGGCCACAGCAACATCTATTAGAAAATATTTATTTAAGCCGGGTGCGGTGGCTCAAGCCTGTAATCCCAGCACTTTGGGAGGCCGAGACGGGCGGATCACGAGGTCAGGAGATCAAGACCATCCTGGCTAACACGGTGAAACCCCATCTCTACTAAAAAAATACAAAAAACTAGCCGGGCAAGGTGGCGGGCGCCTGTAGTCCCAGCTACTCGGGAGGCTGAGGCAGGAGAATGGCGTAAACCTGGGAGGCGGAGCTTGCAGTGAGCTGAGATCCGGCCACTGCACTCCAGCCTGGGCCACAGAGCGAGACTCCGTCTCAAAAAAAAAAAAAAGAAAATATTTATTTAAGATTCTGGTACTTGTTTATTTTTACAAAAAGCAAGAAGTATTATTTCTCCTTGGTAAGATTAACAAACCAGCCAAAAACACACTCCTCATTTTTATATATTCCCCTAGTGGCATAAGGAACCCCCAGATATGCAGGTGGTAGCCTCGGGTTCAAGTTTAGTGGAATCCTCATGAAATTCTGGTAGAGCTTACTGTGCACCATGAACTGGGTGACCCAGGAGGCCCAGAAGGAAAATATTCCCCATCCTCTGGTCTAGATTCATACAACTCATCAGATTTAGAATTAATTGTCCATTTATAAACAAGTCTTGCCAATGACAGCTCTTCACTCTCTCCCAAAGCCATCCATAGTGGATCTAACTACTTGTTAGACCAAGTTGTTACCACTCTACATGGTAATTTCCTGTTGAATTATATACTAGTCAGCCGAAAGCTCCTTGAAGGCATGGGTGTGCCTCATTTATGTTTGAATTTTCACTGCTGGTCACTGTTTTTATATATATATATAAATTGTACATATTGTATATATTGACTACCATATACATAGTAGTCAATAAACTGACAAATATAGGAATGAATGAATCATGTTTTGCATGATTTGTTATTTTTTACATAGATTATTACATTTGATAAGAAAGTCTCAGAAAGGAAAACTATCTTGCACAAGTTTATAATATTTGTAAATCAAGGATCTGAGTTTCAAATCTAGGTCTAGGCTGGATTTGATGGTCTGGCTGTAAATGCAGTGCTCGTAATCTTAATATTTAAGGATGCCTTAGAACCTCACTGGCACAGAAATTGTACCACCTCATGGTCCACATTGCCTGCAACTCCCTCTGTACTCTATGAAGTACTTGGTGATTAACCTCTAACTACCTCAATTATTCTGAGTTTCCTCTTCACTCATGCCTAGTCACACAGTGTTTGTTCTGTCTGTAGGTGGCTAACTCAGATAGTTACAGCACAGGGTCAAGGAGACCAGGATTATAAAGTTAGGATACATCTACAAAGCTAGATTGGATTAATCTGTCCAATACTGTACACACATTCTTCACTCATTCCTACTTCCTGGCAAACAAAGTATCCCCAGCCAACAGAGACTAGTTGAGATAATGTGAATTGATCCTTACCAATGCAGAAATTTGTTCATTAAACCCTGCAGTCTAAAGCAAATAAGAAAATGAAGCAATTCCAGAAGCCAGTTTTCCTGCATTTCCAGGAAGTGACTTACTAAGGCAAAAAAGAGAGAAATAATTTCCTTCGAATTTTGAAAATATTAACTTGTTGAACTTCTAACATCTGTTTATTACTGTTGCAAAGATAATATCATCATGTTTTAAGTCCTCAGCATCACCTATCAACATCATTTTTGCCTCTGTTTAAGTTTTCTATAAACCAGTAGGAATCTGCACACCATATTTACTGTGACTGATTGAAAGAAATTATAGAACTTTTTTTAAAATAAGGGAAAGAGTAATAATAGCCTCTATTTATAGGCATCTACCCAGTACCAGAACTGTGGTAGGAACATGTGCTGACTCATTTACAAACTCAATGGCCATATAAAGTATTAATTATCTCCTTTTGTAGATAGTACAACTATTGTGCCCAGAGGTTATAGGGCCTTTCCAATATCCCAAGTCTTCTAAACAAAAGAACCAAGACGTTGAACAAATGTATCTAATTCCAAAGATCATGCCTCACACCACTGCATGGCTTCAGCGCATAGTAAGTGCTCAATAAATATTTTTGCATAAATGAATCAGTTGTGGCTGAATCTGTTTTTACCTTAAGATGTTGAAGCTACACATAAAAATGAAGCTTTCAGACACTACACCAGATTTGACTGTCTAAAATACTTTGTTAAGGAATGTATGCTAGGGTTTAATCACATTACTCTCACCTCAGTGGCCAGCGCAACCCTGAATGTTTAATTATGCTACTAGTTTTATACCTAATCAATCTTTTTCATTAAAATCCAGTGAAGCAGACAACTGGGATAATTACTGCAGAATCATCTTCATTAAAAATTTTAGCTTCTAATTAAGAGTCATTGTTTATCTCATCAGGAAACAGTTAGAATTCATGACAGGGTTGCCCTGTTTATTAAATTTTTAGCCTTTTTGAGGTTGGACATAGTACATAATACTCCTACTTATGTGAGCATTTGTATTTATACCCATACATATGTTTGAGTATATTTAGTAGTGTTTTAATTGCATCAGAGGAAAAATAGCAATACAAAGCATGAAGTCTAATGAAAACTCTATCATTGAAATCCTTGATCCAGTATTTATGTCTCAACTAATTACAAAATGTTCAAAAGTGAATTATTTATACCTCAATCGCTAGTTGAAGGCATAATTATATTCACAACTGAACAAAAACTGCCTTAAAACTTTTTCTCACAAGTTATGAATTTTTAAAAAGCCTGATGAATATTCACCCAAGTCTCTGCAGCATAAAGAAATAATTATTATTTCCCTAGACTTCCATTTCTGGGAAATTCCTTTTCACCATGAGGATCACACATATAGGTCTTTGGAAGGAAGTCACAGTCTCCTTGGAGTACAGGAAACTATCCATTCATTAGTAAATACACCCATGATGTCTTGTCCCATGGGAAACTCAGCTTGATTACTCTCTGCAGTTGCACTGCAACCCTCCACACGTACAACTGCTGTTGTGTAATTCACAACAAACACTGGCAAATGCTTTAAGTCATTATCCTTTGCCTTAACAGTGAGACACTGTTCTTTAACTCTCGCAATCATAAGTTGTGAATCTACTGCTCTATTCAACATGATTACAGAGCCAAAGAAGAACAAAAGGTAGCCATAGAGGGTGTGAGACAGAAGAGCAGATCAATTCCTTAAGAAAAATCGAGATCCAAGTAACATATTTGATTGGCTGTTCCTGAGTATCTATGTTAGGAAACCTGGCAGAAGGGCAGGAATGGGGGTGGGAAGGGGGATGGGGACTGAGAATACTGGAAGGATAAAATTAATCATCGGAATTGGTTAAAGGATAATTTAAACGTTATGCATAAAGCTTCACTAAAATGTTCCTATGTAGAAATATTTGGAAGCCAAATGACTTTCATTAGCTATGATGGTGATCAGCATGGCCTCCAATGACATCAAAGTTGACACAAGGAGTTCAAATATTTTAGGCTTAGATGGAAGCTTCAAATTCACTTTTTTTCACTTAAAATTCACATTTTTTTAGCTTAAAATGCATTCACTTTTTCCATGCTAACAGTAAGCAGACATAAAAGGTAGGGGAGAAATGTAACGGCAGAAAATAAAGTTCAATTTATCATCTACAACAGAGGTTTTCCAACTGTCCATAGAAGAGAGGAAATGCAGAAATTTGGGGAAGTGACAACCTTCCCCCAACCTCAACAACATGCTTTCCTTCTCTCCTTACAATTTGTATTGCCCTCCCACCCAAATACAGTGGAAGGTAGAGCTTTTAAAAATATTCGCTTTATAGTAACTACTGGAAAATGGACACAAGGATGATCTTTAAGCATCTTCCTAAAGGACTTTTAAAATCATTTTAACTTGGAAAGGGGATGGAAAGGTGGGGGTAGGATAAAAATTAAACCTTTCCTTGAAGCAGTCTTGATAGTATTATCTTCTCTCAGTATGGGGGAAAAAAAAGATAATGGTATAAAAGAGTTATAGTTTAGGGTATTTTCCCCCTTAAAATTACTAAACACAACTGATTATATTATACCAAGCTGCCTTTCTATGAAGCATAAAGGATATAAACAGAGCACAGGCTTAAATATGGATACCAGCCAGACTTCCAAATGAGCACCAGCATTCAAAGGTGTTTTCTTCCGGGAACAATTTGTACCTAGTTCCAGATGTTTTCCCTTCTAGAAAATAGCAAACTCTGCTTAGCATCCATTTCACTGGTGTAAGCAATGGGTACTTTAAATCCTGCCGGCTGCACCACGGCTCACTGTTATTACAGCCAATGCCTCACCTACACCTGTACTGTATATATTGATGCTGAAAGAACCCATTCAGATAAATTACCCACTGGCAGAAGATGAGCTGATAAGAAGAGCATCATTATTTCGCAAAACGGTCAACGCAGGGTGCTATAAAATAAAAATATAACCAAGGGATCCTTCAGAGATGAAGCAAATTTTATGGTAGAGGATCAGGTGAATAATGTGCCTCTGGAGGCGGTGAACTCTTCTTTCCCTGCACTGTCTGTGACATGTATGACAATGTTATGCTGCTGGAAGTGCCCAGCAACCAGGGTTAACCAGCCTATAAAATTGGTGGGCAGCAGAATACCAATGGCCAGATATATGGATTATTAAAATTAAAGGGCACAGGGGGCATAAATTCTCAGATAGATTTTGAGGCTTCTGTTCCTAATTCAGCTACTATAGAAGAAGAAGAATAACTATCATTAGAGCCACCATTCTTAAGTATTTACTATGTTCCAAGCACTGGGCTTACATACATTCCCTTACTTGACCCATAAGGAACGCGCCTATATGGAAGAAATTATGATTCCCATTTTATGGACATGGAAACTGAGCCTCAGAGCAGAAAAATAACTTGCCTATGCCAGTGCACGGCCAAAATCATGCACTAAAATTAGTACTACTTGATTCCAAAA